AATGAGTCATTCTTTATCAAGAGTTGGTATCAGGCGCGAATCCAGGAATTTTTTTCCAAGGGGGATCCACCCCAGTTAAAAAAAAATCCAACCCACCTAGAAAGAATTTTCTTGACAAGGGAAAAAAAATCCTAGACTCCTTCTCTTAATGTGAAAGAAAAATCTATTCCGGGTGTGTGTGTGTGGGGGGGGGGGGGGGGTGTTAGCCGCTCACTTCTTAAGCTTCATATGAATGACTTCTCAAAACAGCTTTGCAGGGTCTGCGTTTTCTAGAGGGTGTTAATTTTTAAGGTACATTATAACCTGTCAGATGTGTTTTCGTTCAATATGTATAATATTTTGCTGAAAATTGTTTTATAATTCAGAAATCTTAAGGTTAGTTACATGCACTTTAAAAACTCAAGCTTGGAAAATAGAATTGGATAAATGTATTTGTGAAATACACTGAGTTTGGTTAATTTCCAATTAAAATTAGAAATTTGTGTTTTAATTCAAATTACATTTAATCATTAATTTATTATTGACAATAAAATTTCGCAAAATTTGGCAAGTCCAAAAATGATTTTAGTGTCCTTACAATTTTTAACAGGTCATGTAATTTGATAACATTAGGTTTAGCATAAAAAATATTCGGAACAAGTTTTTTTTCGGTCTCTCTTGAAAAAAAAAACACATTCTAAAAGGTAGTGGAATTCATCTCCTAAATTATTAGAGGTACACAGATCACAAATTCGATCATCTGTGTCAACTTCCAAAAAAGCGATCTTGTCAATTGGAAATCTGTGATTCATACATCTAAATTTACATAAAGCTTTTCTTAAATCCTTTGGAAGATGAATCAATTTTTTCAAAACAAAACAAAACAATCTTCTAATTTAAATAAACTATAATCAAAAAAATCTTTCTGCAGTACTGGAAAGAGTTGCCTCCCCTTTTGTTACTTAATACTTGGAAATGTTACTTCCCCTTTGTTAACTCTCCTGTTAAAATCCTGTTGTGCTGTGTAAAGCGTTCACTTTCAAACATTCACAAAGTTTAGAAAGGTAAATGATATGTTTACGGTGCGGTCGTTAGTGAGAGAGAAGCTATCATGAAATTGACACTGAAATATGTATCAACAATTACAGGTGTTTAGGGACTAGAGTATCAGAGAAAGTAAATTTTTGTAAAAGGTTAGTTTTACGTTATATATTCTAATTTTATTTGTACTACTTTGTGAATGTGTCATAAAACTATTTTATAAAACAGAGTCGAAAAACCTTTGGGGTACAGAACGCGGGGGGGGGGGGGTCCTGTCCCCAAACACACGTGTCATTCAACACTCTTTGTCAGGTACAACAAAAAATCCCACTCTTTTCATAATAAGAACGACCCACACTCTTCTACTTGTCATTTAACGACTACATGTAGTAAGGGAATGAACGGAGACTATTCTCTTTTGAGAAGTGGACCGGCTTTCGGCGAAAGCCTGTCCACTTCTCTAAAGAGAATAGAACGGAGGCCATCTTTAAAAATTGTTTGTATGCCCTCTCCAGACTGACTGCTTGAAAACGGCCCGACTCAGAACTTTTTGTAATCTCGTGGAAACGATTTTTTCCTTTTTATTCCTGGATTTTTCTCATTCTGTCAATATGTATGTTTAAATTTTCTAAGAAAAAAATTCCATCTACCTACTGCCCCCATTGTTTTAGGAGAGGGCAAACAGAGATTATTTTAAAGATGGCCTTAAGGTTGTTGGATTTATTAAGACTGGAAGAACCTTTTCTCAGTTATTTCATTATGAGTTGTCTTGCCAGGGCACATCTTAAGCATTCAAATGTAGTAAATCTTGGGGGAAGAAGCACAGGTGCCTGCAGACAGGACCCCCCCCCCCTCAGTACTGTTTATCAACACTTACCTATACTTAAAATGAATTTTTCAGTTGAAAATCCTGTTTTTCCTGTTTCAGATGAACATTGATAGTAGAAAATTTTACTTAAAAACCAATATGTATGTCGCCTGTTTCTGAAGATCAATTATATGCACGTTTACTAGTACAGGTTTATTCAATTTAATTACTGTTACTATACATTAAACATTTTCATACTGTGATACATGTACATGTTATACCTTATGTTTATGTATTGTGACACTGCCAACCACACCCCCACCCCCCATATGTAATCTGACAGAATTTTACTTGCGTTTCATGCGTTGTTTCTGCGTATTTTCTTTCTTGTGTACTGTCTTTTTCATGACATGTTGTCCAACTACATGTACAATACACACTAAAAGGACCCAATGGCGTACTGATTAAATTAAATTTATCCCACAAAAATTTCTTTTTTAAAACTTAACTAAACGTACAACTGTTGTTTAAAAATTCAGATTCAAAAATAACCCAGCGAATAATAATTACATGTAATGATAATAATATTAATTGTAAAAAGGATTAAAAAAAAAACCCGCACGCATAAAAAATCAAGTTCAATTGTATGGTAATGATTAGGATAGATTTTGACAAGAGTAGTCTTTAAATCCGAAGTCTTGTCGAAAATTGAATGGACACAATCACATGTCAAGAAAATCGCACAGTCATGCATTACCAGTTTAAGGACAATGGTAGGTCAAGGTTTTCCGGAGAAAAAAGGTTTAATACATGGGTTTTTTCACTTATGAAATAGAGAATGAGAGTGATCTCCCGTGTAGAATTCTCTAAGCGGTGAAAACCAATAAAGCGTATGTTTACAGAGGTAAACAAAAGCACGTGTACTTCCTTCAACGGGTAGAATCATCTATACAGCAAGAAAGAAAAGTAGTAATGGCTTTGTTGTAAATTGTATTCAGGGGTACCGCTTGTGCACGTGAACCGCGCCCACAGTGAGGAAATGACCACATTAGAACTGCGATAGTTGAGAAATACTGCGTTGATTTAGAGACACCCCCCTCCCTCCAACGAGAAAGAGTGAGAGATATGGAATCCAGTATGTAAATCTAAATGTGCTTTAATGGTAGACATCATCAGTTACGTTTTGGGTATACGTACTGCGTGTAGAAAAATATTTTGAATTTCCAATTTAAATTGTTTTCCATGGCTTTCATTACTTTAATTTGGAAGCAAATCTTTTCTTTCCTAGTAACACTAAAATGGATGCTTAAACTTAAAAATAGATTTAAACATACATGCAGTATAACCTCCGCCCCCCCCCCCCCCCAAATCATGCATTGCTTGGAACCTGCACGATTAAAAACTTATATCTAAAATAATTAAAACAATCTAACCCAAGGTCTACCTTCCTTTCAAGCATCATAAGCTATATATTTTATAGAATTTAACAGTAAAAATGAAACTGTAAACATTCGTCAACCGTCAATGATTGGGAAGTAAGTGGCTTTGTTCATTTCTGAGACGTGCTTTCTCTGATATCTGCGCCCAAGAGAAATTAATTGAAGGTCATCATAATGATCACGATGCAGTCTAACTAAAATTTATTCTATGCTTTATTATTTATTATGTAAAGCATTATGTTACAAATAAGAGAACGATTAGGCCAATTTAACATTGATTACAATGGCTTTTAAGATGATTTTATGATGAATAAAAAAAAAATCATAATTATACCATCACAAAGCAGGAAAGAAACTTTTGTGTATTCAAGTGACGGACTCTCAGCTTTTTTTAAAAAGCTAACCTTGTTTATTTATAAGTATAGACATATTACGTTTGGAGGTGAAAACCAATTCCGTTTTAGAAAATAAAGTAATGATTTTTGTTGAATAATATTCTTTAGTCTATCATGTCTAAATATTTCACAGGTGTTCTGATAGCAAGATTTTAAGGCGAAATTTCGATGCTATAGGGAAATCGGTTAAATAACTGAGATAACTCTTGCATCGCAAAATTTCATAAAACGACCGTCTATTTTCTAAGAAAAATACTATTGAAAATATTTTTTACCGTATGATACTCAATATGTTCATGTCTATGTCTCATATGACCTTTACGACTCAGACCAAAATTATTGTGATCAAAGTACCGAAATAATTTATAATGTGTGAAGTAAAATTGTGTAGAATATTTTTTTTTCCCATGGAATATAGACTCAATATCTTCAGTTAACTGTTATCATGACATTTTAATTATTTATTCCTCACAGATATCATCTCAGGAGCAAGGACCATCAACGAAAGAAAAGCAACCCTTGAAGAGAAAAATGCAGCAAGGATGATTCGTCGCTGGAGAAAGAATCATCCTTTGTCCATTGCCAAATGCCACAACCCATTGACAGGGGCTCAGGAAAAACGTATTATGGTTGATGGTAAAATGGTTTTAAAGTTAAGTGAAATCAATTTCGCGACAAAACAGGCATTCGAGGAAAGTAAAGGCGCGGGTTCACGAAAAATTCGACATCGTTTAAAATCTGTATTCAGCGGCGTAACACATCGGAAGGTGCAAACGTCTCTTAAATCTCTTCCCGAAAAGCAGTCTGTCAATCCAATTTTCGATAATGTTGCTCCTCTAAAACCCATTCGTGCGACTTCGATACAAGAACGCCACCAAATCGACTTAGTTGACATGTCGCGACACACGGAATTTTATGACGGTAGAGAGTACAAGTATATTTTGTCGGTTTTAGACGTTTTCAGTCGTTACATATGGCTTCGCCCGCTCAACTCGAAAGAAAGCACGGAAATTGCAGACGCGTTGGAGTCCATATATCAAAGCGAAGGACCGCCGAAAATCATACAATGCGATAATGGTCGAGAATTTCATGGTGCGGTAACCCGATTGAATGAGGTATTAGGTTGTCAAATTATCAACAGCAGACCTTATTATCCGCAAAGTCAAGGGAAAATTGAATCGTCGCATAAATCCTGGAAATCAAAACTTAAGTACGACCTACTAAAAACAAGCGATTCGAACTGGGTTCGCGATTTATCCAAATACGCGATGTTGCGCAATGAGGAGTATCACTCTTCTTTAAAGGCGTCTCCATTTTACGTATATCACGGGCGGGAATCTAATCGTGTGCGTAAGTCTACTCGTCTTGGGCCAACCGTTTCAAATCACGTTTCTAGAGAGTTGAAAAAGCAATCCGCTGTTCGCAAGGCAGCCTTGCTGGCATCGAAAAAACGCGAAAAAACCATGATAAAGCACCATTTCAAAAAACATCAAGTTAGTGTCTATAGTGTGGGCGACGAAGTGTTCGTAAAATCTCAAACTCGGAAAAACTACAATAAAGCTAGGCCCCGTTTTGAAAGAGGAAAAATAATCGACACAAAACACAACGCGTTCTCTTACAAAATCAGGTTTTCCAATGGGGTGTCGCGTTGGATAAATGTACAAAATATAGCTGCAATTTCACGTTCCGAAGAACTGTTAAAAAGACAAAAACGTCATCGATTAAGGCTTGATCCGTTGTGCGAATGTAACAATGATAAATGCTCTCGAAAATCGGATCCGAACTGTGTACACAAACTAAATAAATTTTGTTGCCGCGAAAGCAAAGTTCCTTGTTCACTGCCTTCCCACAATTTCCCGCATATATCGGATTTCTATCTTTCTGATAATTTAATAAACCAACTTAAAGGACCGAGCCTCTCGAGAACCGATACAGCCCATGACGATTTGGTTCGAAATGCGCTTGAACGAGATTTAATTCCTGTTGGGAACATTCCTAAAGACGGTAGCTGTCTCTTTCATTCAGTTGCACAATCGCTTTCTAATCATTTACAAATCGACCTTAATCAGCAAGATATTCGAAATGTCGTGGTAAACTGGCTCTCCGAAAACCCCGAAACACCAGCAGGCGACCGCTTTTCACACTTCGTACCTAATTTAGACTGGGATACCTATTTAGAGGGCATACTAGGTACCGAATGGGGCGACCACATCTGCATCACGGCCATCGCGAACGCATTTAATATTGCAGTAGGTATCGTGTCGAGCTCCCAGTCAGACTTAAATTACATTTTGCCTTTTGATCGACAAAATAAGGAACATCTTTTACACATTTATTTAGGTCATGAATTCGAGTTTCATTTTATTAGGTTAGAACCGATACCGGGCATGCAGGCGGATATTTGTATTAATGAAGTTAATTTTCATACTGTAAATACTATGTGTATTCCAAACAGGGATCTCAACTCAAACCAAAACAGCACATATAATAACTATGTTCACAGTACTGATTTTTCTTACCATTCGTTTCAGGAAGTTCAAATTGAGCCTCAGCTAACAGATTATTCTAGTGATTCGGTTCTCCACCTTCACCTATCCACTAACGAAAGTTCGTTATCCCCTCCGGTCAGCCATCTTGATAAAGAGCCTCTGGGTTCATTTCCCGACAGTGTATCATTTCGGACTGAAAATGAACACATCGAAGCCCCTGTTCCGCCAGCATTTGAGACACCGACATTACAGCGCTTTTCCCCAACAGCAATCTACGAGACAAACAATCTGAGCTCCACAGAGAAAGACAGGTTATCTCCCCCAAGTCTAAATTCATCATTTTATTTATCTCCACCTTCTCTAACTCCTATTACAGATATGATAAAGGATTCAAAGTCAGAGGAACAGCCACCATTATTATCACCTGTTCGCTTGAGGTCTAACGTGCGACCCCCTAAGAAGTTCACACCCAGTGATTATGTCAGGGCACGTAAGCAAATTTTTCCCGAAACAGAAAATGTAAACCGTAAGCAATTCACCGATTTACCTTACTTCATTCAGCGCAATATTTTGTCTCTTGTAATATACAAAAATTTCAGCATGTTTTTGACTTTAATAAGGGTTTCAACACACTTCAAGCATTTGCTAGGCACCCTTCATAATTTGTGTCCTAAAATTTACTTAAATGAAAATGTCATGCTTTTATTGGAAGGTAAATCTGTGTTCCCAGAGGGCGTAAGGCACAACTGGTCTCTTCGTCAGTTGGGTCGAGTGTCAGGTTCGGGTAGTGGCGTAATGATGGAATTACAGAATGTATTGCGACCGATTTCTTCCCGATGGATTAATGGTTACATCGAGATACTGGCAACAGCAATCGCCGGATGGTACTATATTGTCGATTTTAAATTTAAAAAATAAAGGATAAAACGTGCAAATCTTCCCGCATAAACGCGTTCAATATCGTGCTTATTACCTAATAATTTATAAACACTGTCAGTATATGGTGGTATGGCCTTTTCCCTCTGATTAGGCTTCCAGTTGGAGCCACCATTCGCGCCAAATGCATAACGTAATGCTAAAATGTGGTACGGCCTGTCTCCTTACGAGCTGGTTTCCAGTTGGAGCCACATTTCGTGGAAATATAGGTAAACGTGTAACAGAAGAAAAATATTTATTTATTTATTTATTTATTGAACTATTGTATTTTAAAAAAAAAAAAAAAAAAAAAAAGACTCTTAACAGGAGATGCCTCCACGTGGCAAGAGTTGGGCAACAGTTTTACTGGCAGAAATCTCCTAGAATATGCTTCCTAGTACAGGTAAGGTGAAAACAATTTTTAACAAACTTATTCAGAGAATTTATATCCTTAAAGAAAAAAGAACAGCAATTACACCCCAAGAACAACTAGGCGATTGACATTGCTAGAAAACAAATGCAAAGAATAAATGACCACAAATACGTGTACATATTCACGTTCGATATTGTTAAAAAAAAATGCACATTACATGGTGTCTATTTAGCCTTTACTAAACAGTTCTAATAAATGTAATTAAAAAAATCAAGTCCGCCGACAACCTGTATTTCCACATGCTCCTAGTGCGACGCGACTTCTAATTAATACAAACGGGGAGTAACTTTAAACTGTGAGTGTGATCGATGCCAACAAATTTCCAATTTTCTTCTGAAAAGAAAACAAAACTACTAGTTTAAAAACAAGAAAAAAGAAAGAAACAGGGCAGGACACTTTGAAAGCCTCCACAAAATTAAATTGGCAGAAAGCTTCTGGAATACGCTTTCTAGTACTTGTAAAATTATTATTTTTTATTTGTTCGTTTGATCTCGGGATCAAGCACGTATTAGCAGTTCTTTTTTCTGTCCTAACTCATTGAAGTTTAAATTTCATACTTGTTTTCATCAACACACCCCTCCCTTTTCCCAACAAAATGTTATGAACATTTCAAATTTGTTTAATATTCAGGCACGTATTTTTAATGCATAGTGATTTCTGTAAATATTTCTTTAATCAAAAAAACAAAACAAAAAAAAACAAAACAAAACAAAACAAAACAAACAACAAACCCAGTTTCATGTAAACTATGCACGTTTTTTGGAGCACTGTCATTATCGATATCGGGCCTCACTATCTCATTAGCTTTTTATCAAGTCGACAGCAACCAATTATTCTCTCTCCATCCCCACCCCTTCATTCCAGACATCGATAACTTCTTTTAACAAATATTTATTCAATGCAATTCATAAGCTTTGAAAGTCAGCGAAATGATAATTCGCTGCAATGTTTCATAACACAGCATATATTTATATTGCGTGTCGATAAAAAGTCGGGGGGGGGGGGGGTATCTATTAGATGTTAAACCAATTTAAATTTTTACATTATTTTTTATTTTTGGATCAATTTTTAATTCTCTACGTAGAGGAGTAAACATTACCGCTACAATGCCTCTTCCATTAGCCAGCGCCTTATACGTACAGAAAAATGTACACGTACATGCATAAGATACGTATTCCATGCTCACTTAAAAGTAAAAGGGTTTTTATTTGGTAAAGTTTTTTCCACACTTTATTATTTTAAATCCTTAGCAATTTTCTAAAAGACACATTTCTGAGTGCTTTTTCCTTCACATCTCCAGACATTGGAATTTTTGAATGTCTTATAGTATTTCGATTTTCGATAACAAACTGAATTAAATTGATTTCAAATTTAATTGTTATTCAACTACATTGTGGGTAAATTAAATAAATATAGGACTCAATTTCTGAGTCATCGATGGCAGATTCGTGTATGTAGCGCTAATGAGAGTTAATCGTCTTATTGATAAGATGTAGGGGTAATGAGCGCCCGAAATTTAAATGGAGAGTAGAGGTAATGCGTAAATTTTTTTAACAGTGAAGCGGTAATTTTGTACTCACAGCATACTTATCGATGAGTATATTTAAGCATTACTAATTAATAACTAATTTCCCATTAATAAGAGTCCCGATAATTGATTTCAAAGCCCAAATGGTATAACTTTAAAAATTAAATTTTTAATCATACGTAATAGCTATTTTTAATTTGACAACTGCATTTTTAATCATAAGTTGAGAGAGTGAGGTGATAATTATTTAATTTCATAATTTGCCTCGAGTTTGTTATAACTATGAACATTGCAATTTTATTTTATAGCCACCATGAGAGTCGCCTTATTCGGTTCCTCCTACGTGAAGCGAGCTTCAAACTTTACAGACTTTGTTATGCCATTTGAAGTAGGGTGGTTTGGAGTTGGTGGCATGACAGCCTCTCAACCCTGTCCAAATCTCATCTCCAAGATGTTGAGGTACAGACCAGACATCATTGTCGTGTGTTTAGGGGGAAACGACATTTCCAGTGGAGCCGAGCCGTCTACAGTCATTGGCTGTCTGACAAGCCTTTTCCACCAAATTAAAGTCTTGAGTCCCCGGCAACCTGAGATTTTCTTCACAGAGATTGTCTCTAGGGGAAAATTTCGAATTTCTATGCAGCGAGAGGAGTTTGACGCAAGACGGAGGACTGTCAACAATAAGATGAAGAAAATCCTTGGCAGAACCTACATCAGAATAGACGTCAAATTACCCAGACATTACCTTCCCGATGAAACACACTTCAACGAGGCGGGAATGGTCCTCTTCATGCTTTCAATAAGCAAAGCAGTCAAGAGTCGCTCCTATGAGTAGGAAATAAACGGCCCTTTTAAGGGCCATTCAATTATTCGAAAAGATACCTCTGAATACAGACGTAGAAACATCGCAGTTGGCATACCTATCAATTTTACCGAAATTTTCAGAAAAATACACGTAATACCTATAAAAAATACACATTTTTATAGTATTACGTATTATTCATACTTTTCTGAAATTTCGGTACAATTGATAGGTACGCCAACTCCTGCTATAGACTTGTCATAACTTGCGCAAAACCCTGTAATTTGGTAAACAAGAAACATATTGACTCAAGCGTCAAAAATCGGCCGCAGACCAGTTGTTCCTTTTATGAGGCAACAAACTGAAATTGCTTGATCTGTCATTAATAAAATTTATCATATATATCCCGGTGACATAAAACTGCATGCGACATTGCAGGCGCGGATTTTATTTCAATAACCGATTTTTCTTCATGCATAATTATAAAAAGCCTCTCACGGAACATTTACTTTAGTAAAACACAACAAATATATTTGGGATCTCTCTCTCTCTCTCTCTCTCTCTCTCTAATATATCCAAAGGAGGATGTTGAAACCCCCACAACCCCATCGGATCCGCTACTGCATTTCTTCTCCTTGGCGGGAAAATGCTTGGCACATTGTAAAACGCGCTTTATCCTTGTCTGCTGAAGTAAAAATGTCGTTATATTCTGTCTTTTGAGAAATTAAAATTTTATCATATTTAAAAAAAAAAAAACATAGGAAATTTATATTTACACGTCATTTTAAAAAAAGATACAATAAATCCAACATTTGTAAATATTTCAAGCAACATACCATTGGATTCTCAAATATATAATTTAGCGAAATTTAATAACAAATATATCCATTTTTTCGTCCGAAAATAATATAGTTCAATGAAATCATTTATTTATTTTTCTTTAATGCGTAATCATTTAGTGAAATCTTTTGTAGCCAAGTCAGATAAAATAAACCGTTGTAATTTTTTTTTCTTAGACAGACAAAAAATTTAACTTTCATACACCGGTATAGTATCTATATATTGTATTTTGAAAAAAAAAAACCGACTTGAGCTCAATACAACTCCTATATATTTACATCCACTGAGTATTATTTCCTTCGTTTCTTAAAAAAACCAATGCCGTTCAGCGTCAGTAAAGTATATAGATATAAATATAAACAATAAACGTTCTTATATATTTCTACAACAGCTGCAATATTAATTCATAAACTAGTACTAACAAACTAAGAAAGCATTTTATTGTTTAAAAATATTCAAAGCTTGTACATGCACCTGTGCAAACATAGAAATAATATATCCAATTTTCAGTATCAACACGAGATTGTGTATACAGTATAAGAAAAGTTGTTTTTTATTCGTTTATAAAATTGGCGGATATTTCTGAAGGCAGACATTATTACAAGTGTGGTTAAAGAAATATATATTTTATTGCGCGAAAAGACATATCATGAAAAAGGCTGGATATTAGGGGGACACACTGAAATGATAATAATAAAATATAACGTTATTTTCAATCTTGTAAGGGCGGACATAGTGTGACGATTTTTTCGGACGATATTTCCAATCCAAAATATTGACGGACATTTCTTAACGGCGGACATAATGTGACCAGTGACGAATTTACCGAGAAAAGGCGCGGACATTTCGTGGCGGCGAACATAATATGACAATTTTTTCGGAAGAAAGGCGGACATTTCATGACGGCGGACATAGTGTGACGTTTTTTTCGGACAAAAGGCGGACATTTCGTGGCGGCGGACATAGTGTGACGATTTTTTTGGAAAAAAGGCGGACATTTCGTGACGGCGGACATAACGTGACGATTTTTCTGAAAAAGAGGCGGACATTTCGTGACGGCGGACATAATGTGACGGCGGACAAAACGTGACTCAACAACTGTCATGGCTGCTGAGGAGAACGATCGGTAAACAAGCAGATTTATTTTACATGGTTTTCGCGTATAAAGGGCTATGTTGTTGACAGTGAATAAAATTTCCGTCTTATTGGAAGTAAGTTGAATGTAAAAACAATTTATTTTGCCTGCAGTCCACCGTATCTAAAAATATATTTGCACCATTACGGAGATGCAGTGGAATTGTTGCCCTCTCTTGAAAATATCAGATTAAAAAAAATCGGAGAGGGCTACATTATTGCAGCTATTGGTCTCCGAAAACCACATAGATATTGTCAATCAGAAACTCGAGAATCTTCTTAATGTCAACTTCAGAGTACTTGTGTGTACAATCAGATTATTTTTTAACAAAGTAATTTTGCAAATCAACAATGACAAGGTAAGTAAATTTACGAGTTCCATATTTATTGAAAAAAACGGCTGTCAACGATGTCAGAAAGTCTGGACTTTAATTTACCGTGGGGAATAGTTGTATATAAAGTTGAAAAGTCGTTAGTTTTTATGTTGTTGCTTTTGGTAAAATTTTGTGATTTCAAATGTTCCAAAAGTTCCTTGGAATCTTTTAGTATCCACATCTGATATACATAACTTCTCGAATATATTTTGCACAGTACACTTGAAGTTTCTCCTGACACTACTGTTTATATCTTAGTGAGGAGTAAATAAAGAGGCTTGATAGAACATTTAATGGAACCCGCCAACTATCTTTGTTTTTAAGGATTTCTATGAAGTTTCGGAATCCAATACAGATATGGTAATTCAAATTCATTTTGGTTGTTGGGAATATTAAAAATATTCAAAACTGACATATGATTTTGAAGAATTTCTTCCTTAGAAAGGGAGCTATGGGTATAAGTTGGATTACCACTTTTAGAATTAAATCCCAGTTCCTCTAAAGTACAATTTATATAATGAGCCTTACAAACAAAGACAATGTTGTTATCTGATTTGTCAGCAGGTACCAGTGGGTACTGATCATGTAAATCATGTAATCTAATTCTTTTTTTAACTTCTGAATTATTGAGTACAGAACGATTGATGGTTTTCATGCTGCGCCTCAATCGTTTATTGCGACAATTTAACATATATCTGATACATTTAATCCATTCTGACAAAGTGTCAAGGTCTTCTTTTTCATGACTGACCCAACGCCTGTCGTAATCCTCTACAGAATCCATAATATGTATGAAATTACGACGCCAGTTAAAGGTAAGAGGTTCCCTATATGTAGGACCTTTTAAAATTAGTGATCTAAGGTCCTCATAATTAACTATATTTACGTCACCATCAATCTGCCAAACTCGTCCATTAAAATAATCAGGGTCGGACATTAAAAACCAGACTTTGTGAAACATTGTACAGAGGGGTACAAAAAATAAGTAACCTCATGGAATTGGTTAAACTGCTTCCAGGTTAAATTAAAAAAAAAAAGAAAGAAAGAAAGAAACTAAACGCACGAACAGTTCTAGACAGGATTATATTTTCAAGCAGTTAAAATATTTGGAAAAGTAAAACTGTCTATTATTCTTAGGAAGTTAGTGGACACTAACAAGTTTTGAGTCATGTAAGTACATACATGTATTTAAATTATATAAATACTTTCTTGGGGAAAATATAATTTAAATAGAGCACATTTTATACACGTATGTTTCTCCATGAAAAGAACCATCTAAACTATAAATTTGACAATGTAGAACGAGATCTGACAGAGAAGCACTTTTTCAAATCGGAGATAACGGTTCATCTAAACTGTTGTAAGCTGTTTTCTTGTTAAGGAGGCTGGGGGGTCAACAAATTAACCACCAATTAACCACCAGGTTTAACTTAATTTTTTAGATATGATATCTTAAGCTGTCAACTATCATTTGGCAAAAAAAAAATTTCAAAAATGGAGCTCTTCTTCTAAAGGAGATCAATATAGTCTAAAAATGGCCACAACCCCCCAGCCTCTCTAAGTATTCACTATAATTGTCATAGTTCTACTGTTGATTTTATAGAACTTTAGTGCCATCCGGTTAATATGACAGTTTAGTCATCAACAGTGAAGGCTTTCAAAGAAATCGCAGTTTTGAAAAAAAAAATAAAATAAATAATAAATAAATCATTTATGATCATCATTATTTCGTAAAGCCATTATATCTACATTTTGTCAAAAATGCATAGTCTGTTGTCAGCATATTTACATTACATGTATTTAAACTGTTGAGTGAAGTGAATATATATGTATCTTTATTTTATTTTGCTTAAACACACCTTTTTGAAGGCTTAATAATGCCTTCACTTTACATTATTACGCCTTTTGAAAGGCAAAGTTATACCTTTTTTCACATTATTTCGCCTTTTTGATTCAAAACTTCAAATTATTATACAATTTTTGCGGTATTAAGCTCTTTACGTTATTTCATCTTTAGTTTCAGTTTTTCATCTGTAGTAGGATCCTACATATAATAGGCTTTCAAAAAAAAAAAGAAAAAAAGAAAAACGAAAAAAAAAAAAAAGAAATAATATAGTCAAAAATCATTATACTTGACCGACATACCTTTTTAGAACACCTGAGTCGAAGATTTTCTGATCAAAGAGTGTCCAGTGTCTGCCTGTCGTCCGTCGTTTGTCGTCCGTTATCTGTCGTCTGTGAACTTTTCGCATTTTCGACTTCTTCTCTAGAACCACTGGGCTAATTTCAACCAAACTTACCACAAAGCATTCTTGGGTAAAGGGAATTTAAATTTATTCACAGGAAGTGCCACGCCCTCTTTCAAGTGGAGATAATTCAGAATTCGTGAAAATTCGCTAGCATCTTTTAAAAATCTTCTTCTCAAGAACCACTGGGCAAGATAAGATGAAACTTATGTGAAAGCTTCATTACATACTCTAGATTCAAGTTTTTTTTATATCATAACTCCTTGAGGATAGGGCGGGGACACAAGAGGGGGTCGAAGTTTTACATACATGTAGGAATATATGGGAAATGTTTTTAAGAATCTTCGTCTCGAGAACAGCTAAACCATGATTTGTCATATTATAATAGAATTATTCTCAGGTCGTATAAATTCAAGTTGCTTCCAATCATGACCCCTGGTGGTAGGACAGAGCCACAACAGGGGGTCGAAGTTTACCATAGGAATGTATAGGAAATATCTTTCAAAAATCTTCTCAAGAACAGCTAAGCCATTATTAGTTATAATAAAACAAAAGTATCTTCAGGTAGTGTAGATTCAAATTTGTTCAAATCATGACCCCCGCGATTATGGCGGGGCCAAAACAGTGGGTCAAAGTTATAGGTTATAGTTAAAAATATGGTTAAGTGGCATTTGAGTAAAACGCATTGAAGATTTCAAATAGTGGAATGACCTGACAACCTTTGGAACTGACTAGCCAAACCAAGGGTATATGAGGCAAAGCTTTGGGAAAGTCAGGCATTCATTAGAAATTGGACGTTAAATTAGCAATAAAGAAGTTACAGGTAGGAGCAAAATAAAAGTTATAAATACCAGAGGCAAGTATTCTACGGAATTGATATTAAGTTCTGGGTGTAGTAAATCTAAAGAAAATTGAGACACCCAGTTCTTATCTACAAAGGGAGCCTAGGGGAGAAACACGATGCAAGTAGCACCTTACCCAGTCCCCGTCACTAGAGAAGAGAAAATTGAAGAACTGTGTGATTTACTATGGAATCCGGATAGGGCCACGCAGTTCACTATCGCATCATCGCACCATCGAGGTCTGAGTCGATAGTGCGATGACGCGATAATGCGATGACGATGAAGCGATGGTGCGATAACGATGAAGCGATGGTGCGATAGCGCGATGCCGATGATGCAATGGCACGACAATGCGATGACGATGATGCGATGGTACGATTAAGCGATAGCGCGATGACGCGATGGCACGATAGCGATGATGCAATGGTGCTATAGCGATGATGCGATGGCGCGATACTGATGGCGCTATGCTATATCGTGTCATCGTTATTGCTTTATCGCACTATCGTCATCGTGTCATCGCACCATCGCTCTATCGACTAGTACTTTCTATAACCGGATAACATTCCCAGCAGTCATTGCACAACATGGCGTTTGTTGACGAAAAGATTCAAGAATATTTCTTTAACGGATACGATAATAAAGAAATCATATTCCTTCTTTGGAGTAATTATGGTGTGAAAATAAGGTAGGTATTATTAATTGTCATAAGTTATGATAATACAAGTACCTGTATGGGCTAATATTTTCTCTAAGAGTAATAAAGTTACTATACATTAAATTTATAGTCTCATTCAAAGATTGTTTGTATGCGTGTTCTACTTGTATGTATATACCTGTTATTTAAGAAATAGTGATTGAAGTTAAAATCTCCCATTTTAAGATATATTTTATGCATTTTTTTTTTTAAATACTTAAGCTGTAGACATTTGAAAAGGCGCATGACCAGACTTAATTTGAGAAGACGGAGATCATACAATGTGGATATGGCAATAAGGGCTATTCAGGTAATATTGCTTGTGTTTTATTTCATCTTTCTTTTTTGATAGATTGATCAAATCTAGAAAAATCGTCAGTAACATCTACATTTTGATGATAGCTCATTATGTTTTAGTTAACTCATACAAATGTCAAAAATTTCATATGATTTACATATATTCTACTCAAAGGAAGAAATGATGTTCAGTGGACAGACTCTTGGGTGTCGTTTGATGAAACGAAGACTTCTTCAGAAACATGGCATCTTTATAGGAAGGTATATTATCTTATTATGATTAATAAACAGAATTCAAACGATGTGCCTATTGCTTATAATGAGTTTTATATCAATAAGATATTTATCATAATTTCATTGAATTCATTTTTTTTGTTAAAATGTAATGGTTAGATTTAAAATCGTTGATGATTCATTATATATATACTGTTCCAGGGATAACATGTTGTGTTTATTGAGAATAATCGATCCTGATGGAGTTGATCTAAGAACAAGTCACTGCTTGACAAGAAGAATGTATCTAAACAATGGACCAAATTATCTTGCACATGTTGATGGGTACTACAAGTTGAAGCCATTTGGCTTCGCTATACATGGTGCAATGTGTGGGTAAGTTAATGTGCATCAGCTTTTAGTGTTCATTTGAGTCATGTAAGATTACAAGAATTTATGAAGTTATAGAATTTATGATTTTTATATACTGTTGTAGCTACATATCAGAAAACAATATTAGCTATTAATCTAAATGATCAAATTCCTATTCTTTCAGATTTTCAAGACGAATACTATGGCTTAAAGTTGCAAGAACAAACAATGACTCCTTTGTTGTAGCATCATATTTCTTGAAATTCCTGGAGGAAATAAATAGTTGAGTATATAATTTTTACAAATCATTGATAAATATATTCCTGAAAACTGTAAATGCAGTTCAATTTTCACAAGTTAATTTTCTACTAAGTAACATTCTAAATACATTATTTTGTATTGATACAGAATAAATACACATAAAATGCATTATTTTGTAAAAAATATTTACTTGAACAAAGAAACCATATTTGTCTCAGTTCATGGTAGTATGAGTTTTCCAATACATAGGTGCTCCAAGGTGTGAGACTTGATGCTGGAACTGAGAATATATACATTGAGGACATTCAAAAATCCTTCCGTTGGTACGATAATGATGACATGTGTGGAGAAAAGAGTGTAATCAAAGGAAGATCAATGTCTAACCAGGTATGAATATGAAGCTTTTTTTTTAAATAACAATATGATTCAGTAACTTATATTGCATAAACAAATCAGATGAGTTTAATAACCTTCTAAAATCTGCACACCTAGGATTGAGTTCCAATTCCAGTTAACACTCCTGCAGTAGAAGTTAGAGTAATTTGCACTTTGATTTGAAAATGGGGGGGGGGGGGGGGGACTTGATCAAATCTGAATAGTCTACTAATCACAGTCAATTCAGTAAGTCCCAACTTGATATAAGATCAAATAACTGAAGTAATTGAATACTTTAAAAATTTGTATGTGTAATCCTTAATTAAGTTTCTTTTCAAACTGTCTACTTATCTGAACATTTTTCCTGAGGGAAAATAGATCAACTGATTATTTTCACTATTACTTTTCAAAGACCAAAAAAAAAAAAAAAAAAAAAAAAAAAAAAATTCTTCATATTATTATCTTTCATAGGCGTCATTGTGTAATCTGATACCACGGATAATTTTAAAAATAATAAATTTTGCAAACTTCATACTTTCATTATTTGCATCAGTTTCATTTAATAGAGTTCAAGGTGACACAGTTCTTTTTATAGTATTAGTTATACTACAGAGCCATTAAGGGGGGGAGGGGCATGGATGCAATTGCAACCCCTGAAAACACCAATCTTTTGTTTAAAGTTTTGCTATTTATTTGTTTATTATATATTTGAAAAAAAATTACCCCCAGAATGCAACAGACTTGTATGCATTTTTATTATAAATTTTCTGACCTGGGGGAGGGATAACCCTCCCATACCCCTTTCTATACCCCTTTCAAGAAACCTGTTGTCAAATATTTGAAAATGAAGTCAGTTTAATGATTTAAAATATCTCTGCACATAATCTGATATACAAATTATTGTTTCTGTATCATTATGAATTTATATATGATATATTTATGTGATTGTTTTATGCCCCTATGATTCAAGATTCGGGGGCCTTATCCATATAGCTTTGGGTCTGTCTGTATTTTTATCTGCAAAGACTTTAATGCACCAACATTTTTTGACATAATGACCTTGACCATAGGGTTCGACCTTCTTGTGAAAAAATTTTAATTTTGGACATAACTTCTGAATGGTTGATGTTAGAGATTTCATATTTCTCAAGTGTATTTCTTGTAAAAAAAAAAATCTGTCTTTGAGTACTATCATTATAATAATTGACCTTGGAGTTTAACCTACTTTTGTAAAACTTTGACCTTGGCCATAACTTTGAACGGTTGGTCCTAGGGAAGTTGTGTATTCCTTGTGACAGTACCAACATTTGTACTCAATAACCTTGAAGTTTGACCTACTTTTGAAAAATCAGCCTTCAGTTTTTCAAAAACACATTTTGATTTAAGAGAATTGAACGCTGGTGGAGAACACTGAGAGAGATGGGCATCTCCTTCTGGATACACTTGTTCAAAAACATGAAAGGCCAAGGGATGTTCTCATCAGGAAATAAAGAGCACATGTAAGAAGAGAAATAAATTCTTTATTTATACTTAAAGAATTTATGTGATTATAACCTATTATGATATTTCTGCATGCAATTTAGAGAATGCCTTCGCTTTTGTTTTATGAAAATCATCCGACAAGAAATTGATCAAATAAAAACAGAATGGAATAACCATTACATCAGAGCACAAAGACGCTATCATAATGATGATGATGGAAGTCTCCTAGGAAAAACCAGAAATGATGTTTTTCCACCCTAAAATTTTTGGTATTTTTCCTAGCAAAGATTTTTTTAATCACTAACTTTAATTTGAATATTTTTCTGTGTTTACCTTTCTCCTTCGATACCTTGGTTGTTTTTCAGTGCTCAAATTTAAAACAGTACCAACACATTATGACTTCATTTTTTTTATGTACAGGTGCAGTAGATTATAAATTTCCAGTGGATATTCATGACGTGCTAGAGTTTCAAAGATTATTTCCTAGTCCAAGCTCGACAGGATGTTGTGAGGACAATGCAGCATACTTTGATCATTTGCTTTTGGAGGGTGGGAGAACTGTTCCAAACACCACTGAGAAGGCCACGGAGGCTTTGAAGTACTTGGTTGGAAAGTTGTAAAATCCAAATTAGGATTAGAGAATAAATCATCACCTGATGTTTCACTTGACTTTTTTTTCAATTTTCATGAAAAATGTTGTACACTAATCATCTAAGTGTATGAATTAAAAGTCACAAACAGAAATTATTACTATGTTTATTGGGTCACCATACATGCCATATTCATTAGAACAATTATTAATGAAAATTGCAAAATGAGGATATAAGGAAAGCAAACTGCTCTGAGAAAAACTTTTTTGGCATACAGATGCAACAATCTAGAATTTAAAATTCAAAAGCATGTTTACTACCACAAATGCACCAAATATCAATTAATATTCCCATACAAAAATCAATGTCTTTTTGTATTATCTTTCCCTGAAGAAATGCTCCTCATATGATTATCAATGTCTTTTAGTATTATCTTTCCCTTAAGAAATACTCTTATTCCTTAATATGACTATCACTGCCATTATTGAGTTTAAAAATTAATTGAATGAAAACTTTCTAAACATAGATATAGCATTGAATACATAAAGTTATTTTCTTAAGCAAGATGGAATCCCCCCCCCCCAAGTCATTGCCAACTACATTTTTCTGTGAAATTCCTCAGGGGTTCTCCCCTAGATATTTCCAACAAAAGATCGCAGGTATGTGCAACTGGCAAACAGGCAGGGTATTCTACAAATTTAATTTCAAGCTTTTTGTGAAATCCTAGTGGATTGTGTCAGCTCCAGTTCAGTACGCCAAGAGCATGTTTAGATTAATTTCAGATGTACCTTCTGAAAGAAAAGGAAACTAAAGGGTTGAGTTAGAAATACATGTCAAGTAGTATAGAAATTGCAAATTTTGACTAAGAAAAGCATTATTGCCTCTTAAGGTCATATGCAACTTGCATTTACATGTACCTTACCAACTATTTTCCAGGATATTCCTAATTTAAAATTATAGAATCTCAGCAGGTGTTTTAAGACAAAAAAAAGCATACATTACCAGGTGTTTTCAAAAGTTGTCAAATGATGAAAATCATTGTATTTTCTCAAAGAAAAAAATTAACAAAAATATAGTTTTAGCTGGTATTTCCTCAACATTTGCTTCAGAGGTGATAACAGCATTTACAGGAATCATTAAATTGTACAAAGGTTTTTCAATTATTGAACTCTTAATTAAATCAACAAGGGAATAAGAAAATAAAATTCCAACACTATGTTGTGTATGTCCTTAAGCTCATAAAAGTAATGTCAGCAAATATTCTGTATAATTGGCATTCTGCTGAATTAAAGAAATAAAATTAATACTTTGAACAAGAAACCTGAATTCTGTTTATTAATCATAATAAGATAATATACCTTCCTATAAAGATGCCATGTTTCTGAAGAAGTCTTCGTTTCATCGAACGACACCCAAGAGTCTGTCCACTGAACATCTTTTCTTGCTTTGAGTAGAATGTATGTAAATCATATGAAATTTTTAACATTTGTAGGAGTTATTAAAAATAATGAGCTTTCATCAAAATGTAGATGTTACTGACGATTTTTCTAGATTTGATCACATTGCACCATGTATAGCGAAGCCAAATGGCTTCAACTTGTAGTACCCATCAACATGTGCAAGATAATTTGGTCCATTGTTTAGATACATTCTTCTTGTCAAGCAGTGACTTGTTTTTAGATCAACTCCATCAGGATCGATTATTCTCAATAAACACAACATGTTATCCCTGGAACAGTATATATATATAATTAATCATCAACGATTTTAAATCTAACCATTACATTTTAACAAAAAAAAAATGAATTCAATGAAATTATGATAAATATCTTATTGATATAAAACTCATTATAAGCAATAGGCACATCGTTTGAATTCTGTTAATTAATCATAATAAGATAATATACCTTCCTATAAAGATGCCATGTTTCTAAAGAAGTCTTCGTTTCATCAAACGACACCCAAGAATCTGTCCACTGAACATCATTTCTTCCTTTGAGTAGAATATATGTAAATCATATGAAATTTTTGACATTTGTATGAGTTAACTAAAACATAATGAGCTATCATCAAAATATAGATGTTACTGACGATTTTTCTAGATTTGATCAATCTATCAAAGAGAAAGATGAAATAAAACACAAGCAATATTACCTGAATAGCCCTTATTGCCATATCCACATTGTATGATCTCCGTCTTCTCAAATTAAGTCTGGTCATGCGCCTTTTCAAATGTCTACAGCTTAAGTATTTAAAAAAAAATAATGCATAAAATATATCTTAAAATGGGAGATTTTAACTTCAATCACTATTTCTTAAATAACAGATACATGTATATATATGCAAGTAGAACACGCATATAAACAATCTTTGAATGAGACTATAAATTTAATGTATAGTAACTTTATTACTCTTAGAGAAAATATTAGCCTATACAGGTACTTGTATTATCATAACTTATGACAATTAATAATACCTACCTTATTTTCACACCATAATTACTCCAAAGAAGGAATATGATTTCTTTATTATCGTATCCGTTAAAGAAATATTCTTGAATCTGTTCGTCAACAAACGCCATGTTGTGCAATGACTGCTGGGAATGTTATCCGGTTATAGAAAGTACTAGTCGATAGAGCGATGGTGCGATGACACGATGACGATAGTGCGATAAAGCAATAACGATGACACGATATAGCATCGCGCCATCAGTATCGCGCCATCGCATCATCGCTATCGCACCATTGCATCATCGCTATCGTGCCATCGCGTCATCGCGCTATCGCTTAATCGTACCATCGCATCATCGTCATCGCATTGTCGTGCCATCGCATCATCGGCATCGCGCTATCGCACCATCGCTTCATCGTTATCGCACCATCGCTTCATCGTCATCGCATTATCGCGTCATCGCACTATCGACTCAGACCTCGATGGTGCGATGATGCGATAGTGAACTGCATGGCCCTATCCGGATTCCATAATTTACCCTCAGATAGAGCTGTCTTAATAATCATTCCAATCATTAACTCAGACAGAGTAAAAGGAAAGCCTATATATCCCTTGTAAAAACCTGATCATACACTTTACATAGGAAATATCTTTAAAATCTTCTCAAGAACAACTAAGCCATTATTAGTCATATTTATACAGAAGCAACCTTAGGTATTGTAGAATCAAGTTTGTTCAAATTATGACCCCCAGGAGTTGGGGTTGGGGGGTCACAACAGAGGGTCAATGTTTTGCATAAGAATATATAGGAATCATCTTGAAAAAATCTTCTGCTCAAGAACAGCAAAGCCATGATTAGTTATATTATTATAGAAGCATCCTCAGGTAGTGTAGATTTAAATTTGTTCAAATATACGGTGGGTAGGGTGGGGCCACAATGAGCAATCAGAGTTTTATTTAGGAATACATAGGGAAAAATCTTTGAAATTCCTCTGTTTAAGAACAGCAAAGCCATGATTAATAATATTGATATGGAAGCATCCTCTCCTGGGGTAGTGTAAAATTAAGCACCCCCCCCCTTTGATCAATACTGAACTGATTTCTGCTTCTTCTTAGCCATTGTGCTCAGGTGAGCGATGTGGCCCATGGGCCTCTTGTTTCCGCATCTATTTAATTGTTAATGTTTATAAAATCCTTTGAGTAGGCAGTGTCAAAGTTTACCCTGAGATATTGTTTACCTTGAATAGCTAATAGGGTATTTAAATTAGAAGTTGTAAACAGTATTATCTTCTTTCTCATGATATGCACACATAAAGAATTATTTCTTCATAATAGCTTTTTCTTTGTTACTATGTTGGACATTTAAGAAAAGACTTTTATGTGTTTTTTAAATGGGTTCTTGACACTACCTTGCCATGCATGTATTAACCAAGAACACGAAACCAGTCTTTGGAGTTACATAAAACACAAAAAAATATCACACTATCATCTGAACACTGTTTAGTATTTAATATTGGCTGTTTTTCAAAATAAAAAAAAAAACGACGATACAATACATTAGCAAAAAGAAACTCTGTTTTCTCCGATAAATAATTTATATATCTTTTTGTCATTTAAAAAAAAATATATTAAGCATCAAGGAGTGTAGTACACTTTACCGGTGTCACCAGGTAAAGAGACTAGGGAGACAGAACTTTATCGTCACGTGCCTCATTTGTCATTGATTTTCATGTCTCTGTGATCTGAGTTAAGTTAACTATACTCTGGAGGAATTGGAAAACTAAACCAAAGATGTCATTATTCTCATTGTCCTTATTCCACATCAAAGATGAAAAATTTTTAATGCACTTTTCAAATTTTCATTTGCAGAAATTCAAAAATTTGGAAAAATTTTTCAATTTTTTTTTTTTTTTTTTTTTTTTTTGTGCTTCAGGTATAAGGGCACATATAGAAATGTCCTAAGTTGTCTTCACCGTGGCCTAAATTTGTAAATCTAAGATGAGTAGGTATAAGTTTAGGTCTTTCCCATGGCACCAACTTCCACTTAATGCATTATATC